GAGCACAGACTGTGTCATGTGCATGAAAAGCAGAAACTGTATTCGCTTCAATTTCTTTTGTCTCTGTAGAGATTCATGATTGAATATGCTATAGTTAGAATTTATGTAATACCTTAATAGTAACTGACAATAAGCATGGACGATGCATTGTCAGACCTTCAGGGTTACGGGTAAAATTTGAGGTCTTTGAACACATTGCCTCTATGCTCTTGAGCAATCCTATGCCAGGTTATTCTCTGTAAAAATGATGGAAGTTTTAGTGCTTTAAACTGGAGCCTGTAAAACCCTGTTCGAGAATGGTGCCCTTGGTAGAGTTTGATCCTTGAAAAGTAAGGCAGGTGGCAGACACTTAAACTTCTGTGGACCAAGGCTTTGGTGGGGGAGGAGCTTGTCAGAGACTGGTTCTGTCAAAATACAGCTTCTGACTAGAATTCGGGCTTGTTGGAAAGTCTACACTAAAATAGCTTGGAACTTATCTTCAGTTATGTTATTAATAACTCGGAAACTGCTTGCGTTATGTTCACTCTAGCAAAGCTGATAGGAGTGATTATCTGGTTTGCCGTTTGTTTCTCTTAGGTAACTGTAGAAACAATGCGTGGAAGTGCTGCCACTCTTTACCCACCATGGGCTTCATTCTGCGCATTGTGATGAACTTGACTTAACGCTGCGCAGTACCCGAGCGTCTTCAGATTCCTGGAATGCGTTTTCATTCTCATTTGGATATTTTTGATGTTGTCTGAATATTAATTATGGGTTCTGTTCAATGACATTCCATTACATTTAAGATTGGACTGACAGTTCCTATTAGAACATTTTGGAATGTAACATCAGTATTTTTTAAGATATTTCTCTCTCTCTCTCTCTGTGTGTGTGTGTGTGTGTGTGTGTGTGCGCACGCGCGCACGCGCACGCACTGATATTTGCATGAGTCCAGATACCTGTGGATGACCAGAGAGAACTTTGGATTCCTGAGCTGCCCAATGTGGGTGATGGAAACCAAGTCTAGGTCCCCTGCAAGAGCAATACATACTCTAGACCACTGAACTGTCTCTTCACACCCTCCCCTAGTTTTTATTTTTTATATATGTATGTGTGTGTGTCTGTATGCTAAGCATGTACGTGGGTGCTCCTGGAGGCCAGGAGAGGGCATCGAATTCCCAGAACTGGAGTTACTGAAGTTACAGGCTTTTGGGAACTACCCCAATGCAGGAAACAAACTTGGGTCCCTTGGAAGAGCAAGGAAGCATTCTTAACTGCTGGCCTCCTCTCCAGCCTCCTCAATATTTATTTTAAATACAATTTTGATAAATTTCATGTAAACCATCACACAGGATTATTATCACTCATTTTTACCATGTTTTTTATTTGTATATTTTTTAACACACTTATCCTAAAGAAGGACTCTCTTCTGTGAGTAAACTACCTGGTTCTTTTTATGTGAGTGTCATGATCCTTTTTTTATCAAGTCTGCGAACAGCTTTCATCTTAGTGTCTCTTATGTCTTTAGTGCTCAAGATTCCCTCCCATGTGTCTCTAAACAATCCAGAATGTACTGCCAACTTCATTAATGCGTCTGTACTTTCCCTCCCACATTGTCTGTGTTTATGCTTTTTCCAGAACACCTGCTTCCTCATGGAACCCAGGCTTGCTTGCCAAGCCCAAGCTTAGGTGTTTGTGTCCATTCTCTTTGCCTCCTTTTCTACAAAGTTGCTCCTGGGCCTAGATTCCCATAACCAATTTTGATTCCTCTCTACCCTTTAGTGTTATGCATTTAGTTCTTCTCAAGGCCCCTTTTCTCTCTGTGTCTGAGGTAGTTGTGTGATTTCTTTAAGGATAATTGTTGTGTCTTATTCTGTGTCTCTTTGAGCAAGTTTCAGGGCATCTTGCTGGACAGTTATTGGCCCAGTGATAGATGAAATGAATTAGCAACTCATTGCAGTAATATTCTTTCCATCCCAATGCTGCATCTCCTGTTTATTTGTGACTACAGATTATTTCAGGTGTAATGAAATTATAATTTACACAATTATTGTGTGGTAGTTAACAGAGCAGCTGTCTGTAGGTAGCTAAATACTAGATCTCAAAAGTCATTTTCAAAAATTTAATAGAGTGGTAATTTTCTTATAAAACAAGACTTTTTAAATGGGGGTATGGTGACGTTACTCTTATAGTATAGAAGATTAGAATTTGGCTAATAAGTGCATGGCATATGGAATATTTAGCCAAGCTTCAGTAAAACATATTCAAGATTTGAGTACTTATAGAAAAAAAAAATCTGGATAAGGATACTGAATGTGTAGATCTTTCATCTGTATCCAGATTCATTATGGATTTTAATTCATTCTTTCAATGACAGGGTAATTTATAATAGGCAATGAGAATGTATGTGTAATTCTTAAGAGTAATGAATAGGGTTCAAAGGGAGTGGGAAATTTACAATAAAACCACAAGCAAATAGAGAAGCTATTGATTATCTAGTGTGTAATGCTTGCTAAAGTAGCTGCCAGGAATGGAAAGGAATAAATTCATGCCGTTACCTTTAATAGGAATAAATTCCAGAATCCCATAATGGTGAATATTAAAAAGGAAAATTAATCAGAAAAAAATAAAAAATTAAAAGAATCATAAAAAGACTTTATGAAAGTAAAAGAAAGAGTTTTCTCACAATGGTATTTGGTTATATATTTATGTTTTTATGAGATGACCATGAACCAGCCACTGTGGTGCACCTCTTGGGAAGGCCTGAGATGGGAGCGTAGCTGGAACCCAGGCATTTGAGGCCCACCTGAACGACATAGCGAGACAGACCATGTCTTAAAATGTAGGGTCTGGGGACACTACCATAAGAAAATGTATGATTAATACATTTTCCAATAATAATAGATGAAAGCATGTACTCACCATGTAAAGTACACTATGAATAAGAAAAAAAATCTGAGAACAAGGGCCAAGTAAGAAGAAATAAAACTAAGTGAAAATTAAAAATTGTCAAAAAGGAGTATCAGTATAAATGAAACACAGTGAAGATGGTATTATGGTAAGATTTGTTTTTATCTTATCAAGCTACAAGTTTGACATTTATTAAAGTTAATGAGTTAGATGCAGTATGCAAATCACTGTGATTGATTGGCATGTAGTATAAGGTTTTTCTGTTTCAGTAGTTGCTTTCCTAGTGATCTATCCTGGAATAACTGAGATGTATATAACTTACTGTTTATCTGATCACATCAGAACTTAGTAGTGTTGTCAGTGGAGGAGGAATCTCTCCAGTTGGGAGCATGTGATCCAGTTAGCTGTGAGCCAGGCCTGTAGCCATCTTGAAGCTTGATTGGCTGAGAGCCCACTTAGGGTTCCCACCTGAGGCTCGCTCTCGGCCTCTTGTGCCTTTGCTAGCTCTGGCTATAGAAATCAGTTCTTTTTTACACAGGGGTCTCCAGAGCTGCTTCTGCAATACAGCAGCTAGTGTGCTGGGGTGGGAGATCGTGGTTGGGGTGGGGGGAACCCTCTCTTCATAATCTTATCATGGAAGTGATTTCTCATTTTGTCTTCTAGAGTCTGTTTCATATTTGAGGAAAGGAATACCCAGGCCATGAACACTGAAAATTAGATTCTTGGGAGTATATCTACTTCCACTTGTTAATATACAAATGCATTCACTGTGGACTTCTGTAGCAGGCTTTCTTTTAGGACACCAACCAGTTCCTAAATCATGACACAGACACTTATTAGTTCTGAATGCTTGGTCTCATCTCCTAGTTTAATCTTGTAGGTGGAAGTTTCTGTCCGGTCTGGTCCTCATTCATTTAGTTCCAAATAAACACACAGAGGCTTATATTAATTATAAACCATTTGGCCAATGGCTTAGGCTTCTTATTGGATAGCTCTCTTTCTCTTAATTATTAACCCATTTTTATTAATCTGTGTATCTCCGCATGGTTTTGGCTTATAGGAAAGTGCCCAGGTGTCCTACCTTTCTCTATCCCTATTTGAATTTCCTGCCTGGATAAATCCTTCCTGGCTAAATCCTGCCTGTCCAAAACAGCTTTATTCATCAACCAATAAGAGGAACATATTCAAAGCATACAGAAGGACATCCCCCATCATACCTATTTCTCTTTATATATGTTTTACCTCGGGGCTTTTACCCTTCTTTCTTTCTGTATATTCTATTGTCCTGCTTTTCATGTCTGGTTGGCTGACGGCTGCCTGTCATCTGGCCCCAGGTGTGTCTCTCTTCTCTCCTTCCCTCCTTTTGCCTAGCTTTCCCCTCCTCCTTACTCTTTCTGCTAGCCAGCCCCTCCTGTTGATCTCCTGCCTAGCCACTGGCTGCTCAGCTCTTTATTAGAGAAATCAGGTACCTTAGGCCGGCAAGGTGAAACAAATATAACACATCCTTACATTGTTGAACAAATGAAGCATAAATAAAAGTAAAACCTTTACATAGTTAAAGTAATATTCTGCAACATAAATATGATACATCGTTGTCTAGTTAAGCAAATATCCTACATAGACTTATTTTTTTTAATAGCAAGAAAGCAAAAATAATCTTATAGACACAAAGAAATATACAATGCTGCCGTTTCTGCAATGAGAGTGATATAGACAATATTTCCTTGGGTCCTCAACCCTGCAGTATACTGTTCCAGGGTTCCTTTGCTTCCGTGTATAATAACCCCATTGCCACTTAAGAATGTTGATGCTTATTTAATAAGACGAGAGGGACTTAGATCTGCATGTGGATTTTATGTACAGGTAAGAAAAAGTGGTTACTACATTTTTCCTTCTAATAGCAATAGAATAGGAAGGCAAAGTTTTGTTTAAACATTAATTTCATTTTAAGTAGTGTGTGGGTATTCCCTTGATAATTGTTAATAAGTTAGGATGCTTCGTCCATACTCAGTGTGTGCTCTACCTGGAAGAGAAATCAGTGGTAAGCCTTACAGAGGCCATGTTGTGACTTTGTACTTGATGACAGATTGTTACCTTTATCTACTTTCTAGATTGCTGATCTTTCCTTACCCAACTATCTCACGGCATCTTCAGTTGGACTGCTTCCCACTCAGCTTCTGAACTCTTACCTGGGTACCACTCTGCGGACAATGGAAGATGTCATCGCAGAACAAAGTGTTAGTGGATATTTTGTCTTTTGTTTACAGGTGAGTGTAAGACCAAGAGTTGTCTGGCTCTACCCCTCTGTATTGATAATTTAAGTCTAATGTTTCCTTACCACAGTTGAAGAATTGTTTCATTTTAGAGCTAATGCTGTCTTAATAGTTTTAATTTGGTGAGATGCATTGAATATCCTCTTAAAAATGAGAAAGAAGAATCATAAATTAAGATTTTTCATAGGCATTTTTTTAAATCATCTCAAGTCAAATGCTATATCATGACTTTGTTTGAAAGCTTTGCCTTCAAAAATTTTGCAATAGTTTACATTCATGGAGTTAGATTTTATCTAAGTTTAGAAATTTTGTTTTGCTTGCTTTATTTACTTGGACAAACATTCTAATTACATAATGTTAAATTTAGCGTGTATATTTTGTGTTATTCACCTTGTCTTCATTTCAAAGTACAATGAAGATTCTGGCATATAATGCATTCCTAAGGTTTCTTAAGATAGTATGTATCATTTTTTCTTTTCTAGAAATTTGAAGTCTATCTGAAGTATCTTTTTAAAAATACTGTGTTTGAGTCAAATTGCTCACTAGCTCACAGTGTTTTCACTATTCAAACTTTGTCTTTTTATACCACCTTTGTGAATTACTCAAGTGCAACCATTAGGACTTCCTAAAACTATGGAATCATCTCCTTTCCAGTAATTTGTTAATAAACCCTTTGTTTGAGCTGGCATATTTAAACTTATAATACATTACAGAAAGGAAAAGGCACCTAATTCTTAGCTCAGACATTTATAGAAAAAAATGGAAGCACTTTTTGGTTTGGCCTGTTGATGTTAGTTGCAGCGCTTTGTCTCAAAGGATTTAATGCACTGTGTCGTAAAATGGTAGAGAGTAGTCATGCAGGTGACTCTGGCGAGGGAAAGGGAAGCCCAGGGTGTGGTTAATAGAGTAAGTACACTTGCCAGATTCTTTCTGTGCTAGAAATGAGCTGCAAATAATTTGCTGTCTGGGTTTTACAGCCAGCAGCCAAGGAGAGCCTGCTCATTGGAAAGTGGCAGCATTACCTGTATCTGTTCTCATGCAGACGTTGGCGTCTAACCCTCTTCCTCATGTCTGTATTGTATGTTCCTATTCTCACTTCCAGAATTCCAGTCCCACATAGGTCCAAGTTTGATGTGCTTTGTATGTGATATGGGTCAAAGGTACCACGGAGCAGGTGGGCGACATTGCAGTTCATGGGTTCAGGCTTTCCCCTGTGTCCCCGCTGTCCCCCACATCGCCACAGCTTCATTGTCCTCTCCCTCATCCTATGTAACAGATCTCTTCTCCTTGATCTTCTGCCCATACTCCAGCCTTCTTTCCAGCCAATGGTGGGAGAGACACTTGGGTTTCCATAGAAGGCTTGTTCCTCTGGCCTCCTTTTATTTAAATAAACCAGAAACTCTTTCTTTCTTCCTTTCTTTCTTTCTTTCTTATTTTCTTTTTTTTTTTCCTTTTATACTTCATAAGACTAAGGAAGAAAGTGAATGCACGCTGGAGAGAGCCAGTGCAAAGTATGTGTCTTCTGCCCTGCACATTTTGCTCAGCCCCTTCCTGTAGCTTCTGTGTCTAGTAGGTACCCCAAATTCAGCGTGCCTTAAACAAATTTAGCATCTTACACAGCCTGCAGCACAGATTCTCCTAACGTTGCCTCCATTTCTTTACATGCCATTATAGTCTGCTTTCACTTTTCAGAAAATATACGTCTTTAGGAGAAAAAAAAAAAACAAAACAATTACAGTATTTAGAAACCCACTTTTCTAATGCCCACATTATTGAACAGTGGCTGCTCAGTTAATGGCAAGTAGCCATTAAATGAGTGACTTCCTGCCGCCCACTTTGCAGGACCCTGAGTGTGCAGCATTCTTCTGCAGAATATTTATTGAGTCCATGGCCTTTACTTGTAGGTGACGCTGGTAACTGGTGTTGTGTTTTTATTCACTCGCAGATCGTTATAAGCATAGGCCTCATGTTTTATGTCGTCCATCGAGCTCAAGTGGAATTGAAAGCAGCTGTCGTAGCATGTGAGATGGAACTGAAAGCCTCCCTGGGTAAAGGCAGTCAGCCAGATCCCAGTGGCCCTTCCTTCTACAGCAAGAGGACCCTCACGTTTTCTGGAGGTGGAATCAATATTGTATGATTCTTACAAACTGTGATTGTCAGCCTCGTGTGCTCTGTAGGCCTACAGTCACTTACCCAGTGGCAGATGCAAGTGCTGTCGTGTTATGGCACAAACAAAACTGACTAGTTTTTAAATTGCACAATTTTCTAAAAGCAAGAATCATTTTCTGGGTCTGTAAATGTAAACGTAGACGCAGCTTTGGCTGCCCCTTGTTATACCTGTAATGCCTATAGGTCTGCACTTTAGTATTATTGAATTGTTTTATTGCTGGGACTTATGAACAGAGAAATAACCCAAATATTTTTTTTTCTGTTTAGTATCTTTATTTATAAAGCCATGAATAGTTATGCATCTGTCTTTAAAGATGAGGAAAAGGATGCAGTTCTCAATGTTATCGTTGTTGGATGTTCTTTGCTTAGGCAGTCTTCCCAGAAGGGGTAAACTGTATTTTTTTAGTTTTAGTTTTTCTTCTGTTTTTGTGTTGCTGTTGCCTTGTTTGTAGGACAACTTGGCTTCATTTTCTTTGCTTGTAAGAAAATATATGTATTTCAGTTGAATGTATGTTATCAAGCATTATGTCATGGTGGACCTTTTACACCTTCCTTTTTCATACAAGCTTAAATCCTACATTGTGGGACTGAAGTGCTCTTAAGATTCCTGTTTATTTTCACTGTGTAATATGCAAAGCGAAAGGGAACTCACTTAGTGGAACCCACATTCTTATTTGATTATATTGGTTTTACCCTTTAGACCTCATCAAAGGGCTGTCTGATAGCACTCTTACTAAACCATTTTCCCTTTTTATAACAATAATTAGGCTTTGAATAAGTATTTTATTCCTACAAAATGGTGGGCTTACCGTCTCTGAAGTTGTCATTCAGGTGGCCTTGTTAAAAAGAAACAAGCTTTAAAATCATGTTTATAGTTCCATTAAAGTACTTATATATTTGTTCCCATAGTCTTCAGCTTTAAAACTATAAACATAATATTAACAAAATGCCCATGTTTGTGTTATCTGCTGTGTTACTGATTTTTTTTTGGGGGGGGTGTGCATTGGTATTCCTTTTCCCTGACGAGACTCAGGAATTCTGAAATGTGAAATTGTCTTAATTCTTTTTCTTGTAGCACTTAGGACTCTAGAATATAATAGTCCAACATGATTCATATGGCGTGCATTTGTTAATCAGCTTTATTTTTAAAATAGTTTAATTGCAAACTTAATGGTCAGTTGATTTTATTTGTTCCAAATGAGATTGTAGAGATACGGTAACATTTTCTTTTAAGTACTTCCTTTTTCTGGCTTTCCCGACTTCCTGGCTTTCTCCTGCCTTCTCCTTGCAGTAAAACCTTTGCCCTGGTTACTGCTGACCTATAGTAATCCTTTGCAAACAGACTGTTCTAGTCTTACCCTAGAGATGAATTTGATCATGTTCATATATAAGAATTTTGCCCTGTTCAGGTTGTTTTCCTCCGCTTACTGATGGTAAATTTCTTTGCCTTTGAATAGCAGTAGAAGACCAGAGTAACTGTGATGAGAAGTACTTAGTCTATAGCGCACGACTGGCCTCCAGATCTTTTTGTTATTGGTAGAAAAATAACTATCTATACTTTGAGCCCCCATTGTCTAATTAGTTTTAAATTTTAGTTTAGTTTAACTACCCGAATAAAGGAAATATTTGATTTATTCTTTTTGGTATGACTTGGCAACATTTTTCTTGTGTTTCTCATTAGTTATTTTTTGTTAAATGAATCTTAATATTTAAGGTCACTGTTTTCTTTCATACTTGTTTTACGATTCATTTATTTTGAAATGCATTTGTGACTTGAACAACTTCACCAAATGAGTATCTTTTGGTAGTTTGTAATGAGTTTTCCAGATATTGACACTTCCCCCGATATTTGTAATAAATATGTATTCTGCCAATCATAATTTTATATAATAAATCATCATCTTTTATAATAGTATGATTGACCATTTCTAAAATACTAATCTAGCTATACTGTCCCAGAGTCCCAGCAAAGAGCAGTCCATTGTTGCATCTGGTGGCTGGGGTCCAATTGATATTCATATTTGCTGTAATCTGTGCAACGTAGCCACGCCATGTTCACTTTGTTTCTAACCATGCAACCTAGGCTTAGCAGCAGCGGTGGCCGGCAGTGCTTTAACTTGGGTGTATGTCACCTCCAGCCATCTGTATGTTTGTGTGCGTGTTCACGGAAATGAAGTGTTGAGGCGCTCTCACACTGGTTAGCTACCTTCTGGAGTCGCGTTATGTCATTTGGGGCCCACCTAGTTTCATATCTGGTGAAGGTTTTGTTCTGTTTGCCACTTTGACAGATTTGCATTACTTTAAAACCATGTCTGTCCTTACTGTGCTTTTTGTGTCATTTTTATTTGACCATCTGATTTGTGAATTCTTGAAATCCATATTCTTGATGAAAGTCGTATCATCAAGTCTCTAGCATGTTCATTTGAGTTTATGTTTGGAAACGACTGGATTGATTTGGTCAGCCATGCTCACCCTTGATGCACTATAAGCAACTGCTAATGCTCCACTATGGCTTTCCCCCGTGCCCACACGTGTGACTGTCAGTGTTCTCCCTGCGAAGCTGTTAAGGCCAGTGTTTATTTGCCCTCGCTGTAAACAAGCTAAATGGTTGAGCTGTACACTCCCCCCCCCCCCCAGCATCGTATGTGTTTACCTGTGGTGGCTGTTTGGTCTCTCCCTGGGGAAGTTGCTAGAATTTAAATTTGTTGTCCGGGAGACTATCTTTCCAGTTCTTGAAAGCTACTGGGTGTGTGTGTGTGCCCCACATTGGTGCAAATAAATCCTTAGTGGGTGGCAAATGTGTGCCATCCACAGAAAAGGAAGAGAAGGAGGTTTGTTGTGAAGCTGGAGAACAATTGTAACTAGGTTGATGGCCTTGGTGCTGAGATTTTGTTTCAGCCGAAGGCTACTCCCAGGCTCTGAATGGATACTCCATGTAATACTATCAGGCTTCTCGGATTAGAGTTTTCTGCTTTCTCTTATAACAAGATATTTAGGATATATATTTTAATGGTCATTGCTTTATGCTGAAAAGCCATTTAAATGAGGAGAGGACTTCCTCTCATGGGATAGTTAAAACTCAGGAGTTCAAATAAACTCACACATTGAACAGACACTGTTGACTTTGCAACTGAATTATAACTTGGTACATCGGAACATCAGAGGGATTGCTGCAAGCTGTTCTCAAAGGTGCTTGGGATTCACAGTAGAGAATTCCAACAGTGAAACAGTATAATGTCTTGGAAATTGGTATCCCACATCACTCGTGTGCCTAAGAAAATAAAAGGAAATATTTTATTTTTCTTCTCTCTTCTCTTTCTTTCCCATGGTTGTAAAGACATGTTCATGGGAGGGAGCAATTCAGGGGGGAGGATGGTGGAGGGGAGGGGAGGGCGGGAAGCACCCTGCTTCTAGCAACATCATGCTGGTGATCAATCTCATGACCTCATGTTGGGTGTTAGGATTGTAGGACCAATGCTATACACAGGCGATTCAGAGTCCTTGTGCTGGCCTTTGCTCTTCAGCTCTTGTATCATCAAATGTCATCTGTTAACACAGTAGTATTAGTTTCTTGAAGCTTTTTCATAAAATCAAAAACCTGTCCTGATTTAACTTTCTGTTGATTTGGACCTAGTTTCCCCTGACAGTTTCCTGGAAAGCATACGATAGCTACAATTAGTGATCATCTTAGCATCCAGAATGATGCCTGCCCTGGTTTCTTTTTACGCGATCCATTGCTGTTTTTCATCTTTTGTGTCAAAACTGCCTTATAGAATATACAATAAGTAATCCACAAGGGATGTATACCTATAATGCCAGCACTCCTCAAAGCTGGGGATTGAGCAAGTGAATTCAAGGACCACCTGGGTTACATGGCATGATCTTGTCTCAAAACCAAAACAAAATCAATAACTATAAAGAAGCCACGAGGGAATAATCAGATACTGCAGAGGCTTAAGACGGAGTGTGGCATGCGTACCTACATCACATGCTCACACTGAGATTGCTGGCATGTTATCCAAGGCCGTATACCACCAGGCTATGGCCCCTTTCCTTTTTGATATTAGAATAGGCTTAGCACTCCTAAGCTTGAGAAAGTATATATTAATAGGGTATTACTGGGTTGAGTTAAATATCGAGCATCAAAGCATAGTGTTTCATGTAGTGTTAAACCTGTCAGGTTCAAACAAACATGCTTATCCGGATTTAGTGATAACTAGGTAATACTACTGTTTTAAAATGAATCCGAATTCTGCTAGGTGATGTGCTGGATAGGAAACTTGGAAACTCACAAAATATGCAGGAAAATTGAATAGGAGAAGTGTGCTGCATATGGATGAAACCAGAAATAAACACCTTGAAATTCTTATAGAGTGGAACACTTTAAGCATTTAACATGCATAAGTTCATGGCCAATGTGAATGCTTGGGGCAAGGTCTATTGTGTATCTGTGGCAATCTTGTCCAAAGCTTACCTTGGCAAGGGAGGTCGGGTACCAAATAGTTATCCACTCAGTTTTTCAGTTTATTTAAGTTAGCTGTCTGGTTTTGCAGTGTCATGTTTCTGCTGTGAACATGCAGCTACACAGCATCAGGTGGAGCCCATGTCTCCATGGCTGTAGGAGAGCACCCTTTCCTTAGATGGATGTGGCTGGGCCTAGGAGCACTGACTCTCAGACCCACATTTTTTTTCCTTCTCTGCCCTTGGCTGCTGGGTGAAGATGAAGCTTTGCTTTTTGGTGGGCATCTTGTCGGAAAAACCCAGGCAGGGGTTTCTCCGGTACTGGCTTGGCTAGTGTCAGTGGATGGAAAGATGAGAGCCAGAGACCCTGGGAACATACTGTTATTCCTACCAGAAAGCTCCGTCCTCTGTGGCACCCATCAAGTAGCAAAGGAGCTGATGGACCTGAGTGTCCCCTGCTGTGTAAAGAGGAGGAAATTGTGGAAGAGCAGATGAAGAGAAGTTCCTCCCAAGGACCTTCCCAGAGGTCAGCTTCCCATCTCTCCTCTGTCCTTCCTGACAGCTTCTTAATCTCTTCATTGTTGCCATGGCACCTGGAAACAGTGAGCACAGCACCCAGGGGAGCAATGCAGCCAACATAGAAGAGTTAGCAGCCCCCATATAGGCTGCCAAGGAGCTAGAGGGAGTCTAGGAAAGAGGCAAGATGCTGCATCTCTCAGAACAAGGCATCTTACACTGAAGTCCCATTGCTTTGGGTGATAGCAGCATCCACATCTGCCCGTAGGATGAAGCATAGTCGTGAAACTGCAGAGGGGCACTCTCCAGTTTCCTATGGCTTCCTTAGCTGGCAGCTGGAAGGAGAGGTTGGTGTTCCATGGTGGATTGAAGATCAGGGAAGACGAGTCACATGAGAAAGTAAAATAGTGTGGCAGAAGTTATCCTCGAGTTCAGATGTGCCCATCACGGATTCTCTGCCTGAAGCCTTGAGAGGTAAAGCACTTTGCCGATGAGTGTACCCGATTAAGGTCAAGTGTTCAAATCCCAGGTCCTGAATGCTCCTTCTTGTAAGAGGTAACAAAATGTTTCTGTTCCTCTGTAATAGTCTGCATCATGGTATTTGGGAAAGTTAAAGAGGCTGTCTGGAAAGTGAAAACTAAGAGCACAGTAAGCTGTTAATACCCAAACCTACCTCATTCTTCAGAGCAGAGAAACCCTTCCAGGGTATAGCTGTAAAAGACTAAAATGACCCAGCCATTTATGAGCAAGAGCAATGAGCATTAAAACTCCCGCATGGCTCCAGGATGACACAGGCACAGCATAAAGAACAAACCCTGCATGGTTGGTACAGCATAAAAATAAAAACCCATTGGCACAAAACGTTAAGGAAAGCGCTTAGAGAAGTCAGTGCTTTGGTGAGGTTGGGGCTTTTATATTGTTTTTGCATGTTGTAAAAGCACAGGATTCCTTAGCTGAGAGACAAAGGTGGCAGTCCTAGAGGGGAAGGAGTGTCTGTCTGTGTGTGTGTGTGTGTGTGTGTGTGTGTGTGTGTGTGACAGATGAGTGAGTTTCCATGTCAGTACTAATTTCCCATTTAACTGCTGCCTCCTTCAGTAGCTTTTAATTGCGTAAGCGAGTGAGTGCATCATGTCGACTTCCTTGAATTTATTACTGCTGTTGAGTTTCACACTCTTTGCAGGGGCTACTGAGTTCATCCATGCTTGTTTATGATGCCAGTCTACCCTTTGTGTCATGACCATATAGTTTGTGAGTGCGGAAAAGAAAATTTAAATTCTCGGACTTTACATTTCAGCCAGTCACTTTTTTTTTTTCTCAGTAAAAACAGAATATTGGCTAGAGATGCGCTTAGCCTGGGGTTACGGTGATGAGTAATAGGAGGTGAGCTCCCTCTCCATGAGGGGCCATGAGGGGTTTTATATTTATGGATAAGATAGTACCGAAGTAGCAGGAGTGTCTGAATTGTAAATTGTACACAATAGTTTAAGGAAGTTAAAGAATGCCAAAACCATTAGTCTAAAGCTTAATCAGGGGAGAAGACCAGAAATAAGACACAACAAAAATACAGGAAGGAGATGAGCAAAATGATTTGGCAAATGTAGGATGCAGATTGGAGTATGGGGAAGGCACTGGGGTGGCTCCTTCTTGCTGCAGTGGATGTGCATAAATAAGAGCAGTTGAAGGCCAGATAGCAACAGGGGAGGGGCTGAAATGCTTCTAGCATCTGCCGATGAACAAATACAGGCTAAATACATAAATCTGAAACTTAAGAAGGTTTATGATAGAGGCTTGGGAGTCAACACAGAATGTATGTCTGGTGCCAAGTGAGGCTACCAGTGTCCACGAATAGAACTGGAAATGAGAACATTCTAAGCCTGGTGATGCAGCGGGAGAAGGAACGCCAACGGCAGTGTGAGATGGAAGCTTCTAGAAAGG